TTAAGTTTTCTCCAAAACACAAGCCAAGGAAAAGTCTGAAAAATCTTGACTTTCTCATTTGATATAAAATTAAATTACTTTATTACTTATTTATTTGTGTGTGTGTGTTGTGTATGTGTGAGTGTGTGTGTGAGAAAGACACACACAGATAGATAGATAGATCGATAGATAGATAGATAGATAGATAGATAGATAGATAGATGTAGTAATAAGGGGCGGCGGGGCTGCGTCCCTGGCACCCCAGCTGCCTGCTCGGCTAGCTTATGCCCGAAATAACAACACACAAACTGTATTCATTTAATCACTGCTTGGCCCATTCTCTTCTAGGCTAATTCTCACATATTAATTTAGCCCATTTCTAATCATCTGTGTGTAGCACCCCAAGGTGCGCTTACTGGGAAGATTCTAGCCTATGTCCATCCTGGGTTGGAGCTTCATCCCGGGAGCGGGGCATGGCGTCTCTCTCAGGCGTCTGCTCCTGAGAGAAGAGCTGTCGAGACTCTGACCTCACTTCCTCTTCCTCCCAGCGTTCTGTTCTGTCTACTCCTCCCACCTATCCTCTAACCAATAAAATGGGCCAGGGCAGTTCCTTTATTAGCCAATGACCTTCCTCCATCAGATAGATAGATAGATAGATAGATAGATAGATAGATAGATAGATAGATAGATAGAGCATGTGTGCTGATTCCCTTGGATGCCAGAAGAGGGGTGTTGTATCCCCAGGAACTGGCATCTCAGGCAGTTGTGACTTGTTGCATTTGAGTGCTTGGAATTAAACTCTTGGTTCTCTGCAAGAGCAGCAAGTACTTTTAACCACTGAGTCATTGCTCCAGCCCCATATGCAATCATTTTTTAAAGTTGTCTAAATTGCTTGTAGAGTTTTTCTTTTATTTGTATTAAAACTTCCTTCAAGAATACACTTAGGTATATATACTTTGTGTGTTCTTGGAAAGTTTGTGGGCTTCTTAAATGCTTATACGTGATGCATAATTTTATAATTCATAACTTCTAAATTTATGTCTTTTATTATGATTTTCATTTCATTTGCTTCAGTTTCTTTATACTCTAAATTTATGAATCGACAAACACTCTAGAATTGGAGAAGACAAGTAGTAGTATTCTGGCAACCTGGAAATCAGTGGTTAGACAAGAAGGGCAGCTGTCCAGTGTCAGGGTTGTGATGGATCCTGGATTCGTCCTCCAGGCTTCCATAGAGTTTTTAGAGAGATGGGATGGTCTTTGTACTTCTTTTCAAATGGGCTTCTGATCAAGGAGACTAATGCAAGGCTTTTGTCAGCAGTGCTCTTCGGCACGGTTCCATTAGGCAGGTGGTGAATGAAAGTAAGTTTTTAAGATTTTCCTTTTAATTTATCTCCTCCAGATTTGTAGATATTTTAAGAGAAATTTTAGAAAACCGGTGTCAGATGCCATTTGACACTGGCAGCTTCTGTTGATCTAAACAGCGGCTAGACAAAAGCATTGAGGACTCTGTGCTTTCAACATCACTTAACTGTTACCAAACTAGCAGCGTTGAGCTTCTTTGGTGAGCCTGACTCTGAGTTTGCTAGACTGCACAGTTGAATAAAATGCTGTTCCGACTATCAAGGATCTAGCAATCTATGGGCAAGGGTAGACATGTAAAATAACCAGCTAGAAGTGGAAGATAAGTGTAAAATAAATACAAGACTCTGAGAGCAACATGGGAAACCCTTCACGGGGATGGGGAGGAAAGACGTTTGCGCTTTATAAAGCTGGAAGCAGCTTGCCAGGAAAGCAGAGACATGTGACTATGCCCCACTTAATGGAGTCAGAGAGGGCTGGGCCTGCAGAGTGGAATTTCTTTCTCCGTTTTTACTCCATTGCTGTGGCATTCCACCCTGTTTTCTTATGGCTGACAGTTCTGCCTGGATGGCATCTCATGGTAGCTCTGTTTTCCTCCTTAGTTTGATTTCTCTCCACTTTCTGGGTGTGGGGGTTCTGGGTTCTGGTACATTTCAACTCCTTATGTATGATCACATGTATTTATGTCATTTCAAAGAGAAAGCACTGATTTCTGGAAGCCAAGGTGTGACTATTTGAAATGATAATCTAATCTAACCTCCCCATTTTACCTGCCACTTCTATCTGGAAGAAGGCTGTGGTGGTGGAATGAAATTGCCCCCCATAGGCTCACAGAGATGTGGCCTTGTTGGAGGAGGTGTGGCCTTCCTCGACTGACAGCATTTTTTAAATATTTTATGAAATAGCATACAAATGATACTTAGTACCCAAACTCATTTTCCTGTGTTTCTTGCAGCCCCTAACACACCTGACACTTCCTACTATAACACAACTTTATGTTGTGGCCTGGTTTGCCTGTATATGATTTGTTTTGTCTGAGCCAACCCTGCTTAAAACCCAGTGAATTTCTCTTGCTCCCCCTCCTCTGCGACTTCCTTAAGTTTACCAAAAGCTTCGTCTCTTCCCTGCCTCTCTATGGCAGACCGCCAGGCTTCATCTATCCTGCCTCTGGCTGCTCTCCTCAGCTGCTGCTGCAGATTTTGCAAAAATCTTATCAACAGTGCATTGCAATGGTGGCAACCTCTGTTAGGAATGCCTTCTTCTTCTCTCCTGCTTAAAACACAAAATGAAAACTAGAACAACAAAAGCCCCACGAACAATCACCAAGACCCTGGCATAGGCTGCTTCTTGCTGCTGTAACAGAATGATTGAGTTTGGATAATTTATAAAGGGGTCGGTCGATTCTGGAGACAGGAAGTCTGAGATGACATGGCCGACCACATCTGGCAAGTGCCCTGTGCTGTGCAAAATGTGGTAGAAAAACAGAAGGACAGGGGGAGGCCTGCAAAAGAGGGAGACTTTGGAGTAGCCTGCTTAGGGAGGCCAGACGTACAGCGACTGACCTATACCCTTTGAGAGTGTATTGACAGTCACATAAGAAAGCTGCCATCCCATTCGTGAGGGCTACCACTCAGGGGTGCAAGCACCTTCCTCTCTCGGCCACCAACTGAGGGATTAAGCCTCCACACTGGCATTGGTGGTAATAAGCTGTATTCAAATCTTAGCAGATACTTTAAGCAATGGACCATTTCTCTTTCTTCTGGGTTCAGTCAGGATTTCCTCGTGGATTTAGTAAAAGCAGACTCTAAACTTTCCACAGTGGCAGAGTTTGTCTCTTCGGTAACTCCATCCTGTTGCTGTCCGAATTCTAGGAGGAAGTATATGTGACACCTATAACAGGCCTCCCAGTCAGAGGTGGGCCAGGCTGCTCTCTGGTTGGGTCATCTTGGGCAAACCTTTGGGGGCTTTATCTGTAAATCAGGATTGCGTTGCACACAAATACCTGGCAGAACTGTGTGGGATGAGAAAAGTGAAAATTGCCTAAAATATCCTTAGATACATAAAGGGCACTAAAAGCTGGGTGGTGGTGGCACACGCCCTTAATCCCAGCACTCGGGAGGCAGAGGCAGGCGGATCTCTGTGAGTTCAAGGCCAGCCTGGTCTACAAGAGCTAGTTCCAGGACAGGCTCCAAAACCACAGAGAAACCCTGTCTCGAAAAACCAAAAAAAAAAAAAAAAAAAAAAAAAAAACCCAAAAAAAAGGCACTAAAAAGTATGCTAATTTGGGTGTTTAATATTCTTTTAAAAAAATAACTCAGGCTGAAGTTTTTCTTTGTCACCATTTTGTTGAGTGCTATATATTCATATATATTTTTTTCTTATCTTGAGACAGTATGTAAGGTTTTTGATAATTCTGTAATTGTTTTGACCACATTAATCTACCTCCCCCATCTCCTCCTCTTTGAGGCAAGCCCAGAGCTCACTATGTAATCAAAAATTAACTTGAACTTCCAATCCTCTTGACTACACCTCACTAGTGTTGGGAATCAGGCCTCGGATTTTTGCATGCTAGGCAAGCACTCTGCTGACTAAGTTGCATCTCTAGATCCAACCATCTCTCTCTTCTGTACCTCAGGAGTTCTGCCTGCTACTCTTTTTGGCATCTTTAGAATAAGAAGATCATCCCTCTTGGTAATTCCCCTTATAGGTTGTCCCTTTTTGGTCTCACAGTCATTTGCTAACTTCACAAGTAACCATGATACACCAACTCCTAAGACATGAGTTTCCACTCATGGTACAGAAAACCAGTTATCTGTCATTTCACAGTGACAGGTTCTGGTTGTTCTGTTGGCTCATTTTCCAATTTTTCTAAATTCTCAGAAAAGGATTTAGATAAATATTTGTTCCGTACTCTCCACACTGGCTCATAGCCTGTGGTTTCTGACTTTCATTGTCATCATTGGTCAAAGGGAGGTCAAGTTCCCCTTCCAATGTGAAAAGTTTTTAATTCAAGAAACTCACTATTTGGACACTATTGATTGACAACAATAACCATAAACAAATTCAACATGAAATTGTCTATCTTTAAGAAACTCACAGGATTAGGAAACTGATCCTTATTTCTTTAAAAATGTATTTATCATTGTCCTCATTACTCATGGGCGTGTGTGTGTTTACACTGTGTGACTGTGTGTTTACCATGTTACATGTATGGAAGTTAGAGGATGACTTTTGTGGAGGTGATTTCTCTCCTTTCACTTTATGGAGGCTCTGGGGATCGAACTCACATTTTCAGGTTTGCATGTCAAGTACCTCTACCTACTGAACTATCTCTCCACCCCTCTCTGTCTCCTTATTTAAAAAAAAAAAAATTCTTCCTCTGTTTTTTATTTTTACTATGTGGAACATGGTTTCTTTTACAAATGAGTATAAGTCTCCTATTCATGAAGTAATTTTGACCACAGAATTATCATAAACCTTACTTTGAGATGAAAAAAATTAGGGCCCCAGCTAGACAGTGGTGGCTCAACCCTTTAATTTTAACACCAGGGAGACAGAGGCAGTCAGATCTCTCTCTCTCTCTCTCTCTCTCTCTCTCTCTCTCTCTCTCTCTTTATGGTGAAGAAGTGAATATTTAGAATTATCTGGCTGGGCTCAGTTTAGATGATTCCAATTTTGTTGGCAACATCCAGAGCATCATAATCAGGAGCCAACCGAACATACGCCTTCTTCTCTCCGTCGGGCCTTATGACGGTGTTGACTTTGGCCACATCGATGTCATAGAGTTTCTTCACAGCCTGTTTGATCTGGTGCTTGTTGGCCTTGACGTCCACAATGAACACAAGTGTGTTGTCATCTGTCTTCTTCATGGCTGACGCGGTGGTCAGGGGGAATTTGATGATGGCATAGTGGTCAAGCTCGTTCCTCCTGGGCGCGCTCTCCTGGGGGTATTTAGGCTGCCTTCGTAGCCGCAGGGTCTTGAGCTGCTGAAAGGAGGGCGATGTACGGATCTTCTTCTTTTTGTGGCTGTGGATGCCTTTCAGTACTGCCTTCTTGGCTTTCAAGGCCTTCGCTTTAGCCTTGGCTTTGGGAGGGGCAGGAGCTTCCTTCTTTGCTTTTGGTGCCATCTTGACTGGCAGTCAGATCTCTTGAAGTTCAAGGCCAGCCTCGTCTACAGAGCGAGTTCCAGGGCAGCCATGGTTACACAGAGAAACTCCATCTTGAAAAACAACAATGACAAAAAATTAGGACCCCCAAGACGTACGTAATATTTTTATGTCCCTGTTTTAAAAAGATGTCTTGTTTGAGACTGGAACACATGGTTACAAATGATAGAGAACTATGCTTTTCTCTAGTTGGCTACTATAATTGTTATAAATTATTAGTTTAGAAACATCCAGTAAGAAGTTATTTGACAGTTAAATGGAACCTAGAGGGAGAGAAAGACATAGGAAGGGCAAAAGGTAACTTAAGAAACCTTCTGAGACAGTAATAGCTTCCATCTGGAATGTTCTCTTCCTCTGCGGGGACTTCTGCAGCCAGAGTGAAGTAGGACCCGAGGGGGCTGGCGTTGTCTACAATGGGAGCTGACGATCTCTCCTGGTCAGCAGCACAGCCCATTGTTTTCCTTCCACGTCTTTGAGCTGGACCATGGGAGGGCTTCTGGTTGAAATAGAAACATTGATTCACAGGATTGTATTGCTAAGGAATTTTACAGATCATTAGACCACAGGGTTCCCCAATTCTTTCAACGTAAGAATCACGTTTCTGTATCAATGTGCCTTGGGCTTCTGTGGAGTGCCATAGAAACAAACAGCACAAATGGTTTGTAAAGGTGAAGTGTGACAATATGCCACCGTGGACTCAGTAACCATTTCACATGATTTTCAGTGTTTTTGATCACAATAGAATTGCTTCAGACAGTTTTGCCTACATGAATGAGACTTGCCATTGATTTTATCTGTGACCTGCTGGGTGTACAAATCCCACGGACTTGGGGGTTCTTAGAGATTTGTGCCGAGGAAAACACCTGTCTGAGATTCTTGTTTTAACAGACAAGCTAGTGTGACTCGGTGCAAAGAGACTGTTCAAGGCCACAGCTCACTGGGGGCAGAGTCCACGTCATTGACCTCTTGTCTGCTGTGTCCCAGAGTCTCCTGTGTTCTTCTGAAATAATCGTAGCAGATCAAACCAGACCCGAGGAATTTGATATATACTCCAAACGCAAGAGCGCCTACTCTTGTCTAACGACAATGCCCTTTCAAAGAGTTAGGTTGGGAGTAGACACCCTTTGTCCTACTTGACAAAGAGTCCTTGAGAACTGTTTGATACTTTTGCATTTTTGTTTGGTTTTGAAAGAGGGTCTCACTGTGTAGCCCACTTTCCAACTAGTGGCTATCCAGCCCCAACTTTCCAAGTGTTAGCTGACACACCTGGCTTTGTTTGTGTTTGGCACTTTTTAACCCACAGAGTAGACTTGGAAAATATTAAATTTTGGCTGCAGATACCCACCCCCCTTCCTGAGAAAACGAAAAACAGCTACAAATGTTGAAACCTTAAATATCATGGAGTTTTGGCAGCGTAAGGCACAAAAGTCAGCAAGAATGGGCATTCTCAACCTCTGCCAAGTTGGGAGTAGCAGTTCTGGCTGCTGAGCTGAGAAAACAAATGAGAAAAAAAATCACCAGCCAAATAATACATTATCATATTGGCAGACAGGAGGAAAAGTGTGTGAACCTCATTAAAAAGCCAGTCAGTGTTAGAATGACCCAACTCGGCTGGAGAAAGATGAGAAGAACAATCGCTCTTTCTTGGACAATGTTTAATGTTTATGTACCAGTAGACATCTCCGGAGCTCGTGAATCAGGTCTTCAGCCAGGGTGTCCACGAGTGGTTCATACAAGGTTAAAGATGTTGAACTAAACATGGATCGAGTTCCTGTTTTCCCTGTATGACCCCTTTTTTTCATTTACAGTACTTCAGGGGGCCAACAGATTGCCTTGCTGCCTCTGTGGATCTGCATGACTGAGGAGCATCTGGGCTGCCTCTGATTTCATTAGGCTGTGGTTCATTTGGGGGTAGATGCTGAGCAATGCAGTCATATCTTTGATGTGGAGATAGTAATGACGCGGGCTTATCCAGTCAGATCCAACCGTGTCTTAAGACAAGGCTGACTACTACTGTGTCCGCCTCCCAAAGATAAAGGACGGATATCACAACTAAGGGTTGTGGTCTCCACTCTGACCAAATGATCGGAAAGCATGAGTTTCATAAGGACTTTAAGGAAGGACAGAGGCAAACATGAGTAAATCCACTCCCCTCACATGAAGATGTGCTTCCACCGGCGTGGTCTTTGGGGGGCAGCACACGTGAGTCGTAGACAAGCAAGAAGTAGTTATAATTGGTGTTGACAGAAGAGCTGTGCAAACAGACCACAATGAATTTCACAGCCATTCAACTAAGTATAATAAAACTGGGATTGAGGAAGCATTGCTCGGCATCTGGGCCTCACACCCTCCCATTCCCAAAGTGCTCAGGATTTCAGTGATAGAATGGTGTTTACCATAGGCAGAGATCCTTTCTCTCCCAGTGCTGCTGGCTGGCACATGTCCTGAGGGGGGCCCTGATAAGTGAGCTGGTTAACAGGGACATTTTCAAGGCAGGCAGTTCTGGTTGCTTGGTGAAGAACATGAGTATCTGAAGAGGGACTCATCTGTCCCTGGCTGACGGCCACTCGTGATCACTCCGGCGTGGCCCCCATTAAAAAGTCCAAGTGAGCTCGGGCCAGCTGAACTATAAACTATATTTACTAAGAAGTGAGTAAGACAATTTTATTATTCCAGTTATAGAAAGGCTCGTTCTTAGGAGGAAAGCAGCCGTAGAAGAGTTAAGGCATCAGGGACTGGGGCCCAGTGACAAATGAGAAGGAGAGGAGAGAACAGGGCAGAGTCACTGAAGCCAGGAAGAGGGTGAGAGATTCTGATCAGTTGCTCTAGTTGGGGAACTTAGGGAGAAATGTCTAAGACAGAATGTTGGGGAAATAGCTGTTATGGTCTGCTGATTTTCAAAATCTCCCGCCCTGCTTGAAGAAATCATAGTTGTATTCTGTTCGGGTCAGTAGTGGGACCCAGTACCTATGTGTCATTGTTGAGCCCATTGGGACTTGTTGCAGGAGCTGCGGGCTGCATTCCTGCTGCCCCAGCTCCCAGCTGCCCGGCTAGCTTATGCTCTGAAATAATGACACACAAATTGTATTCATTTAAACACTGCTTGGCCCATTATATCTAGCCTCTTCTCGGCTAACTCTTGCACCTGGACTAGCCATTTCTATTAACGTGTGTAGCACCCCAAGGTGCGCTTACCGGGAAGATTCTAGCCTACATCCATCCTGGGTCGGAGCTTCATTGTTTCTGCCCCAGAGAGCAGAGCTAAGGCGCATGAGCTCACTTCCTCTTCCTCCCAGCATTCTGTTCTTTTACTCCACCCACCTGTTTTAACGTATCAGGGCCAAGTAGTTTCTTTATTAATGAATCAATGACCTTCCTCCATTACTAGTCACTGCTGACCCCTCTCTCTAGCCTCTACCTAGGGGACGGTAGGAATGCAGCCCGCAGCTCCTACAACAGGGACTGGTCCTAACTGAGAGGTGTGGTAAAGAGTGTCACATCCATATTTGATTTGAAGACTTAGTATGAAAAAAAATGCAAAAAAAAAAACCCTAAGTCACTGGTGTCTTTTACACTGAAGATATATTGAAACAATAATATTAGTATATTAGGTTAAAGAAAGTATATTGTTGACATTTATTTGACCTTGCTTCTACATTTTAAGACTTGTCTCAACCATACTATTTGAGGCTGTCAATATCATTGGTTGTTTTCCTGCTGGACACCACTGATCTCCATTGTTGTTTGTGGTTTCATGAGTTTGGATTATTCTTATCTTTTGTTGGGATTGGTGCTGCTGCAGGGTTATACAGGCAAACATTCACATCTTAACCTTCTTGGTGGCCAAAGAGGAAGTGGGTCAGACTCAATATAATCTCGAGGGAATAGTGTGGCCTCCACCGTATGTGCCCGCCTCAGTCTGTGCAGTCAAGCTGGGCTGGGTATTTTCCTTCTGTGTATTCGCCAATCTCTTTAGTGCCGTGATGAACGACTACCCATCATCCTTTGTGTCTAGTCTTAATTATTGCTCAGGATGAGTTCTTAAAAGACAACTGCTGAGTTCAGAAATTGTAATACTTTTTAAGATTTAGCTTTTAACTACCTGTAGATATGTGTCTCTCTGTATATGCACAGATGACTGCGGGTAGCCCTAGGAGCTAGGGCAGGGGTCAGATGCTCTGGAACTGGAGTTATAGGCAGTTGCAAGCTGCCCATTAAGTGCTGGGAACAGAACTTGGATCTTCAGCAAGATTATTATGTGCCTTAAACTGCTGAGTCAGCTCTCTGACCCAACACGAATATTCTTAAAGCACCAGAAATTCAGACCTAAATTACATTTGGTAACTGCCTGTGTCACCCTTAAATACGTACAAAGACCAAGTTCCCTTATGGCACTGATTCTTAACCTTCCTAGGGCTGCATGCCCTTAATACAGGTCCTCAGGATGTGGTGACCCCCTCAACCATAAAATTAGTTTTGTTGCTACTTCATACATGTAATTTTGCCTCTGTTATAGTTGTAATGTTAATATTTTTTGGAGATAGAGGTTTGTGAAATTTAGCTGTGGCCCACAGGTTGAGAACCACTGCCTGACAGGCCCAGAACTTAACTGAAAAACAAATGGGGCCCGGTATGGGAAACACAGGGAGCTGTTTGAGAGAGACGGGGGGGGGGGGGGGGGGGGGGGGGGACTGGGGCTCTGAGGGCATCACGGTCTCCCTCATAAGGATGTCTGAGACAGAGGAAAAGAAGGAAAGGGTGGAGGACAAAGAAGAGAACCAGAGAGAACAGACTAGACATGGTTCGCGTGATTTCTAATAGTTCACAGGGGCTCAGAAGAGCTTGAGAATAAAGACTCCATGAAGCAGAAATCTTCTGTAAAACCACCGCAAGCTGGAGCCAAACAGAGTGTGGCCGCCCCGTGGCAGCAGCCTTGAGCTGATTTATTTGGGAAGTGGCCC